TGGGGCAGAACCGTGGGCAGGGAGGGAGGGCCCACAGAACCTGCTCCAGGTGCAGACCCACGGTGGGGCCGTACCCTCTGCTCCCACCCCCCCCAGAAGGCCTTCCCCTGAGACCTCAAATGTCCCTGCGCTCCCACCAGCCCCCTGGCCACGCTAGACTCAGGAGGGGAAGGCGCCATACCCCTCGGCCCTGTCCTGGGTCTCATGGGGCCTCAGTGTCCCCAGTCACAACACGGAGTGGGGTCACAGGGCTTCAGGGCCCCCAGCCCTGAGTTGTGGGTGGGGAGGCTTCTCTCGGGGTTCTTGGCGGCCCCCCACGCACACACGTACATGCACACACACACACACACACACACACAAACACACGTGCACGCACTGCAGACCTAGCCCACAGGAAGCCAGCTTCTTGGCTGGCCCAGGGAATTCCTTCCCGGCCCCCTCCCAGCCTCCCAGGCTTCCTGTGTGGAAATGGGGCCTGGATCCTGCCTCGGTAAACACACTATCAGGAGGGAGAAGTCACCCTCCGTGCTTCCTGTTTGCTGCAGACTCCAGGGCCAAGCCCCAGCCCCCCAGGACCCTCGGGCACCCTGTTGGGAGGGGCGGGGGCTGCTGGGTCCCCCCAGCTCCTGTCCCCAGAGTGGAGCTGGCAGGGGGTCTACAGCCCTGAGACCAGCTCTCCCCTGACCCAGGGCCACAGGCAGGCCCCATGCAGCGGGGGTGGGGAATGCTCAGACTCCCCTGGGACGGCGCACCCCCCAGACAGCCCCTGCAGCTGGAGGGGGGCGGGGGTTAGCCCTGGGGGAGACCCGGGGTGGAGAGATGCCCCGCCATGAACACACTCTCCAAGTCTGAGGACACTGAGGCGCCCCTGCCCTCGGCGGCGGCTCTGCCCCAGACCTCAGCAAAGTGCCCAGTGCCCTGATGGGCAGCTGCATAGGCCGGTCACTGGGTGGTGACCCTATTGATTTAGGAACCCTCACCTCAGGCCACCCCCACCGGGCCGCAGGGCTGGGGCCCAGTGGGAGCCCCCGGAGGCTGCTGGTGTGACCTCACCCCCATTTCCCCGGGGGTCGTAGGTCAGGAGGGGATGGGACCCCGCAGCTGTCCTCACGGGGGCCATGGGCCAGGAGACAGATGGCCCCACAGGCACAAAAGGGCCCAAGGCAGACAGAAAGCATGCTACTCTGAGCTCCAAAAGGTACCAGGCTCACCCATCCCTGCCACCACCATCCCCAGGATCCCTGCTGCCACGGTGATGACCCCACCCTGCCACCATCCCTCCCACTGTCCTGCCAACCTCACTCTCCCCACGGCCATTGTGTGCTGGGCATCAGAAGAGGAGAGCTAAACACTCACTCTTGAAGCTCCAGGCTGGTCCCCTGGCTCCTGAAACCCTCGGGTGGGAGGTCATCATGCCCCTTTGCCCAGAGTAAGGCCCAGGAAGAAGGGGGCAGGCTCTGGACCCTGGGAGAGGCACTGCCTGGGGGCTGCAGGCCAGGTGCCCAACTCCTGCACCAGCCGCCTGCCCCCCACTTGGCTCTGGCCTGCTCCCAGCCACCCCTGGTCCCTGAGCCCCCTGCCCGAGTCATCCAGCCCCACCTGACCTCCACCTGGCCCCGCCTTCCTAGGTGGCCTCCCGGTGCCCAGGGCTGGGGTGGGCAGGGCGGGCAGAGCAGGCCTGGACTCGCAGAGTGAGTCAGGCAGGCACCTCACCCAGGGGAGCAGGCTGGCCGGGCGCCAGGCCGGCCTTGGAGGCCGTGAGAGATGCCGCCTGGGCCACTCCTGTCCTTGTCTCCAGATGGCCCAGGCGGGTGCCTCGGCCTCCCCTGGCCAGCACGCTCATCTCCAGGGTTGGCTGACCCTGGCCCCACAGAAAACCCTCTCTCCCCAACCCTGAGAATTCTGCACCACCCCCAAGAAGAAAGAACGCAAGAGTGGGAGCCGGAGGCCACGCTGGGGTTCCGTTGCTCCAGAAGCAGGATGCCCACAGACCCCCGACTGGGGCCCTGACAGGGGCTGACTTGGCTTTGGTCAAAGAGCTGGGTCCCGGGCAACGGCGCTTTCCCATCCATAAAATGGGCACTCCCCAGCTGGGTTCCCAGCCTGTAATGACAGGGCTGAGGGCTTTGATGTCCCAGATGAAAGGCGCCCCCCGGCTCCCAGACTGCCCCCAGGACAGAAGAGCAGGCACCGCCCTCCCAGAGCTTCCCCTGGACTGTGGGAAGTAGGCTCCACCGGCTGGACCCCAAGGTCAGCCATCCCCAGCCTGGGCCCGCTCCACAGAGACCCCCAGCCAGGACAGGGGCTGGGGTGGGGAGTCAGAAAAGGTCAAGGGCAGAAAGGGCCCCTCCAGGGATTGACGAGTGGGAGAAGGAGCAAGGGGTGTTCTCTGCAGGAACAAGGGACCCAATCGGCACCCCAAGGGCCACCCATCCCCCACAACAGCCCTGGCAAGATGGTCCAGGCACCGTGACCTGGACTCACAGGCAGGCCTCCCCCAGCTTCCTAGGTGACCTCCCCGACCCCAGCACCGCCCTGGTCCCTCAGGATGGAGGGGGTCTCCAGGCCGGGCCAGCACCTCTGCAAAGCAAGGTCGGACCCTGGGTCGCAGCCAGCGGGACCAGGCCCACGGGATCCTCGGACCAGGTGGGCTTCTCAGCCCCTGTCCCTGGATATCAGGTCCCAAGGGCCCCTACCTCCCCATCCCATGCAGAGTCCCACCACACCCGCCTGGACCCCTCAGAGCCTCCCAGATTCAGGGGCAGAGAAGCAGGCTCCATTGTGGCAGTATAGGGCTGGGTTCCTTCTGGGGACCAAACCTGGCCTCACAAGAGAAAGGGAGAGCCTGGGGTGGCCTGGGCCCCCAATGCCCCCGCTGACATGGGACCCCGATCCCAGGGGCGGGGGCCAGGTGTCATGGGCAGCAGGGAGCAGGAGGGCAGTCTGGGGCAGGGGGCTTGGTACGGAGGATGACAGACCAGAGGATCCACGGGGGCACTTGGGAAACTGTCCAAGGCTGTGGGGTCTCGGACCTGCCTCTGCCCCAAGCTAGACCTCCCCCTTGAAGAGAAACTTCACTTACTTGCTCATTCATTCATTCTTTCCTCCAGCAAGTATCCCCCGAGGCCCCACGGAGGCCCAGCCCTGCGCCCGACGTGGGGGTGCAGCAATGACTCAGATCGCACCCCACCCTTTCGAGGCCCCATGGAGGCCGGCCGTATAGGCAGAGACCACACAAGGTGTGATATGCAGGATGGAGCAGCCCCCATGCTGGAGGGGGCGTCCTGGACCTCACTAGGAAGGGCCCCGCCAGCTGGGAGGGGCCGCGCCTGCACCAGAGTGTGGGGGGGCACGGAGGCGGGGTGGGGGCAGCAGCCGGGGTTGCTCGGGACCACAGTCTGAGCTTCGGGTGGAGCAGCCTGAGGCCCGCACAGAGGTGTGGGGTGGGGAGTGTGCCCAGTGGGGGCTCCTGCCAACTCCGGGGGTCCTGAGCCTGAGGCGTCCAGCGTGTCTACTCACCTGTCTCCTGGAAAGACTGGCGGGGCCAAAGGAAGGAGATGAGGCTCTCCCGGGGGCCGCTCCAGCACCTGCCTCAATTTCCCCAGCTAACACCACCCCTGGGAAGGGCCCTGGAGCCCACCAGAGAATACTGTTTCCCCGCCAGCCCGGCCCGGGGCCCCGGGATCCCTGCCTCAGCCTGGGGACCCCAAGAGCTCAGGAAGGGGGTCAGAGAGGGAATGGGGTTTGAATCCCAGCCTTCCCGCCATCTGTCCACCACTGTTCTGTCGCCGCTCGCCTGCAAGGCTGGTCCCCACAGAGGCTGCTGGAGGGCCAGCGGGCAGAAGGCAAGTCTCCTGCTGTCCTGAAGACGTGTCCCTCCAACGCCCTGAGGCCCCCTCGCCCCAGGACCCTCGGAGGGCAGCGCGCCCAGTGAGGTCAGGAGCCATTTTAACAACTGATGTGTTTTTTATTCACAAATAAAAGCTGTAGCAAGATGTTACCTACACATTTGTACAAAGGTCTGGACACCCCTAGAAAATGCACAAGGGCCGGAAAGCAGAGCCCATTGTGACGGGAACACACATGCGTCGGCAGGCTCGCCCCCGGTCTGCATTTGGCAGGAAGTGCCGCCCGAGGACCCCCGCCCTGCCCAGGGCGCCCCCCGGGAAAGAGCCCGGCCTGAGGGATACCGTCCATAGAAAACCATAAAAACATAGATCATTTGTCTCCAAATTCCCACTGCAAATACTGCATTTATAGGCAAAATGATATAAAAATATGAACCTAACAGAACCTTTACAAAACCCTTACCCCCGCCCCATTTTGTGTGTGTGTTGGTTTTGTTTTTTGCTTGTGGTTTTGGTAAAAATTCCTGCCGTAGAAGAAGGCGCCTTGTGGGCACTGCCCTCCCTGCGTCCTCAGGACAGAGCAGGTCCCGGGGGGGAGGGAAGGCTGGCCCTCCCTGCCCGGAGGACCCCCTGCAACCCCGCCCTGGCGCGATCTGCTGCAAGGACGACGCGCAGACCGGGGTCTGGGGACCACCGCGACCAGCTCTGCCAAGAGAAAACAGCTGTAAAGGAAAAATAATCCTGCATCCTGACCCACGGGCCGGCTGGGCCCAGAGCGGTCCTGCTACATGAAACTGCTTGGCTGGGAAGAGGCCCGGGCCCGGCACCTGGCACCTGGACGGCCCCCGCCGCCCCCCCAGGCCACGGCCCGAGCACACCGTCTGCTGGTGTCTTGAGTCCTTAGCACCAAACGCAAAAAGAGAGAAGTCCGAGTCAAGGTATAAAGGCACTTGCGTTGCTGTCTGGGTGGTGACCGTGTCCTGTCCTCTCCGGCACACTCCCTCGCTCCGGCCGTCCACTCCGCCCGGCCAGCCCCTCCCTCACCCTCGCCGCCTCGGAGCACCCCCTGCCGGTCCCACACCGGACCCTCCGCATCCTCATCCCCCAGCCCCCGCCACATCCTCACTCCATCCCACGCCCCGCCCCCCCCGCCCCAGCGCCCAGCCTCAGACGTCCACCTCCTGTGGCGCCGACGTGGCGGTGGGGACGGCGACGCTGATGTCAAAGCAGGTGACCATCATGACATGGGCCTTGCACAGGTTCACGCACTGCTCCAAGGCGGCCGTGGCTCGCTCCAGAGCCGCCAAGTACTCAGGCGACTCGGGCTCCAGCTCCGGGTCCACCTCGACTGTGGAGGGACAGTGGGCGGCGGGTCAGGGGCCGAGGAAACGCTTCTGTCCCCTCCCAGCGTCTGGGTCCCCGTCCGGCCAAGGTGCAGGAGGGCGGCCGGCGCTCTCGAGGGAAGTGGCCGGCTTGGGGGTGCAGAGCAGGCGAGGCGAGCCAGGGCAGGGGGCGCAGGGCAGAGGTTAGGGTCCCGCAAGCCTTGCCTCCCCTGCACGGGGAGCCTCACTGCGCCCCAGCGGAGGCGGGGCGGGGGACTCACACTGCTCCAGCCAGCGGCCGGGCTCCACCATCAGCCGGCCCTGGGTCTCCGCCAACTCCCCGCACAGGTGCTCGTGCTTGGCCTGCACCTCCCGAAGCCGCTGCTGCCTGCGCTCGGCCAGCCGCAGCTTGGCACTGGTGCACGCCAGACCCTGGGGGCAAGGGGCGGGCAGGTCCTCAGGCACGGAGGACCACCTACTCCCAGGCTCTCCCAGCAACCCGGGCCTTGGCCGAGGCCACGTCCTCCAGCCTCCAGGCCCGGGCAAATGTACAGTGGGGCCTCAAAGGTGGGCGGGGGTCAGACCCGGGCCCCCCCACGGGTGAGGCTCACACCAGGTGCTCTCAAAGCAGCCTGCCGGTGCCTGCCTGGAACCTGGACCCGGGCCCAAGGGGCACAGCGGTGGGAAACCCTCCATCAGGTGCAGCTCCACGGGACAACGGTGGTGACCTCAGGACCCCTCCGACCGCCTGCTCTGCCCGGAGTGGGCATCGAGGCCACTCCGGGTTCAGGGCTGGGGGGGGCTGGTTCCTACCTTCTCCACATCCTGGGAGGGCTGAGGGCAAGAGGGGGAGGGGAGGTCAGCTGGCTGCTGGGCCACAGCCCCAGGGGCCCACCCGGCCCTCCAGGACCCCTGACCCCCAGCCCCCGCCGGCCCTGACCTCAGCCGGGTCCTCCCTTGGGGGTGGGCGGTGTCGCTGCAAGCGCTCCACGTCATCGATCTCGTACACCTTGATCTCGAAGGGCTCCTTCAGGGAGCCGGCCAGGGGCGGCGGCAGGTCCACCCACTGCCCGGGGAGGCTGGGCTTGCGGCCCAGGGCAGCAGTGTCGGGCATGGGGGCCGGGATCAGCCGTCTCCGCTGCAGACCTGGAGCAGAGTGGGGGCGCTGGGTGAGCGGGGGCTGGGGGGGCGGGGGAGAGCACAGGGGCAGAACCCACATCCTTGTTTACATCAGTGAAGGGGCTACCCCTTCCCGCCTTCACCGCTCCCCCCCGCCCCTAAGAGCCAGCTCTGCCCTGGACAGCTGCTCCCGCCGCCCGACACGGCCCAGCCTCTTGGCCGGCCTCTCCCCCAGGCAGCCCTCGACACCCAACACCTCAGCACCCCAGGCACGCTGGGCCCCGGCTCAAGGCTCCCGGGGCCGAGTCCTG